GTTACCTTCTATTCAGGCTAAGACAGACCTATTGGACTAGCGAGCATTCTATAGTGTGTACTATATATACATATATGGACTACTCTAGATATTGTTGAGTCTTTCTAGGATGTATCTGCGTATCGGATTACTGTTTGGACCGTAGTAGATCAGGACTTACATGTGGGCTTGACCCACTCCTTTATTTTTCAGGTGTTTGTCAGTTCCAAAGTTAGAGTTTGGACGTACAGAGCAGATACAGATATTGATTCTTCCGACTACGGTGGAATCTTCTCTATGTTAGCTTTAGTTTTTATTTCAGTTTCAGTTTAAGTTTGAGAATTCTTAATAAGGGGTCTACTGGATGGATTCCCGAGTTATAAACTTATAGAGGTTTTGGAATATCAGATTGGACTAATTGTGATACAAGGTTTTTCTTTTAGTTTCTTTCAACTTTTAATTTTATTTCTTAAATCATTTTTGTATTCCGTGTTCGTTTTTAAATACTTTAATTCTTTGATATCCCTCGGGTTTGGGCCTGGGCCTGATTAACCCGCGTCTCGGATCCGAGGGGTATCACAGTTTGTTCCATTGTTGACCTGATGTTGAATAAACTTTCTAGCAATGTCTCTTGTTTAAAGTAGCTTCCTCCAGACCAAGAATCAACGCTTAGAAAATTGATTTCCCATATACTTCTTTAAGTTTGGACTATAAAGAAGATACTAATTCAAATCCATTTTAGTTTTTTATCGCTCTTAAAGAACAATAGGATTAATATGCAAATATTGAGGATATTGTCACACCCCGCAACCAAGAGGCTACGCCACGCAGGTGCCACGCAGACGCCTAACAGATGATGACATAGCAACCTGCATGGATTGAGAGCTTTCTAGACTTCTCTACACAAGTATGGAACTTTCTGGAATGGCCTAGAATAGTGTGGAGTTGTCTAGTCTCTTCTAGACTTGTCTAGAGTAGTATAAAATTCTCTAGACTTGTCTTGTACATTGTAGATAGTTCTAGAATTGTATAGATAGTTCTTTGGAGGATTATAGACACTTATTCTAGGCCACACATTTGTACACATCTAGAATGTTCTTGTAAAGGCCAAAGGCCTATAAATAGGAGGTGGGAGTTCATTTGCTCCTCACCAAGCAACCTAAGTTATAATTTCTTCTCAATTAATACAAGTGTTCATACATTCCCAAATTCTCTTGCTCACTTGCCTAAATCTCCCCCTACACACTTAAATAAGCAAATCACTTCTCTAGCCTTAGTCTTCACTAAGCTAGCACACTCGGGTAAGTTGACTTAGCACTTCAAGGGGGCTTAAAAGTGTCTAAGGCCGCACAAGAGCTTGGAAAGGTTCAAGTCCGTGACAGTTGGTATCAGAGCTAAGGTTGTGAGGCGTCACACCTTCTATGAAGGAAGCTATTGTGGAGTAATCAGACTTGATTAACGTCCAAGAGGAGGAGCTGCGTGGAAGGGAGAACAATCGCCCTCTAGTCGAAGTGAGAACAAGGGCTAAGTCGAAGGACATTATGGCGGGCATAAAGGCATGCTTGGCAAATATGGAGGGCTCCATGGCTAATGTGATGAGGCAGCTTGAGGATGCTCACCAGCGCATGAACGAGCTGGAGTCGGAGGACGCTGAGGTCCAGAATGCTGTCAAAGGGTCATTCAATGCTCTGAGAAGTAACTTTTAGCAGGAGCTCTAAGCACTTTGGGAACTTATGTTGGGCGAGTTTGACACCCTACGTGGCTATGTTGATCAAGAACTTTGCACTTTTTGCTAGCAAATAGAGGAAATATGAGCGGACTGGGCATTGTACAAACAGGCGGTCGCGTCCGGCATAGCTACTACGGGGGTAATAGCACCCCGGGTTGATATTCCCAAGCCTAAGTACTATGGTGGGAACCGGGTAGTAAGGGAGTTAGAGAACTTCCTATTCAGTATGGAGCAGTACTTTGAGGCTACGGACATGACGGATGAGACCATCAAGATATGTATGGCGACCCTCTACCTTACCGACCATGCATGGTATGGTGGAAGAAAAATTATGGTGGCATGGGCAAAGGTACGGTCTCTAATGATACTTGGGCTAATTTCACAAGAAAAATTAAGAAGCACTTCTATAAAGCCAGAGGCAGACTCCGATGGCTAAAATAGGTTGGATCGATTCAGGATTACGTGAAGGAATTCACTAATTTGACTCTTGAGATCCTGGATCTATCCGATAAGGAATCTCTTTTCTTCTTCATAGATGGCTTGCAATTGTAGGCCAAGACGGAGTTGAGGCAGCGCAACGTGTAAGACCTTGCCACGGCTATTGCAGAGACGGAGTTCTTTATTGATTTCAGCTCCAAGAAGGATCCCTCGTCCAAGCCAAAGGACAAAGACAAGGACAATGACAAGGGGTGGTATGCCGGCAAAGGTGGGGGGGGGGGGGGACAAGGGCGCTGTGCCATACAAGGATTGGTCCTGTAAGCCAAGTGGTGGCCATAGTGGCAAAGAGGGAAGGGAGAACAAGGAGGGAGCATCCAAGCCGAATGGTTCTTGCTTCATATGTGATGGGCCACATTGGGTGAGAGATTGCTCAAAGAAGAAAACCCTCAATGCCATGACAAACCACTACGAGGAGCAGCAACAAGAGGAGGCGCAGATGGGATCACTGCAAATCCTTAATGCCATCAAGGCTAAGACAAAGTCCCTAAGGCGGCGGCTAAGGGGCTAATGTTCATGGAGGCGAACATCAACAGGACACCCACACGTGCTTTGGTGGACACGGGTGCATCCCACAACTTCGTAAGTATTGATGAGGCCAAGAGGTTAGGCTTCTAGTATAATAAAGAAGGGGGCTCCACGAAGGCAGTTAACTCAGTGGTAAAAGCTATACATGGCATGGCACACAGCATCAAGGCATACATTGGCGAGTGGAGCAGCCACATGGACCTATCGGTGGTACCCATGGACGACTTCAAACTAGTCCTTGGGTTAGAGTTCTTAGACAAGGTGAGAGCCTTTCCCATTCCTTTTGCTAACACTATATGTATTATGGAAGGCAACACAACATGTATGGTGCTGGTGGAGTGAGGTGCCAAGTTAGAAGCCCAAGCCTTGTTAGCTATGTAGTTTAAGAAGGCTTCAAGAAAGGGGAAACTAGCTACCTTGCTACGTTGCTAGAGACGCCCGATGATGAGCTACTCCCTTCCCCACAATAAGAGGTGCCTAAGGAGATACGAGCCATACTAGACGAGTACATAGACGTGATGCCTAAGGAGTTGCCCAAGAAGCTCCCACCTAGGAGGGAGGTGGATCATAAGATTGAGCTGAAATCGGGTTCCAAACCTCTTACTTTTGTGCCCTACCGGATGGCACCCCAAGAGTTAAAGGAGTTGCGGAGGCAACTCAATGAGCTATTAGATGCGGGCTACATTCGACCCTCAAAGGCCCCATATGGCGGACCGGTGTTGTTCTAGAGGAAGAAGAACTGGTCCTTACGCATGTGCATCGACTACCGGGCGCTCAACAAGGTGACTAACAAGAACAAGTACCCTATCCCTCTTATTACAGATCTTTTTGATTAGCTTAGTGGAGCATGCTACTTTACCAAGCTAGATTTGTGCTCAGGGTACTACCAAGTGCGGATAGCGGACGGGGATGAGCCCAAGACTACATGTGTGACTTAGTATGGCTCTTACGAGTTTCTTATTATGCCATTTGGTCTCACCAATGCACCTGCTACTTTCTGTACTTTGATGAACAAGCTCTTCCATCCCTACTTGGATCGCTTTATGGTGGTGTACCTGGACGATATTGTTGTGTATAGCACCACTCTAGAGGAGCACGTGCAGCACTTGAGGGCAGTCTTCCAAGTCTTATGAGAGAACGACCTATATATGAAGATGGAGAAATGCTCCTTTACCCAAGAGGAGGTGTTGTTCCTAGGGCACAAGATACGGGATGGCAAGCTGATGATAGATGAGGCAATGGTGAGGGTTATTCAAGAGTGGGAGTCGCCCACTAAGGTGACAGAGCTACGCTCCTTTCTTGGGCTTGTCAACTACTACCGTCACTTCATTAAGGGCTACTCGGTGAGAGTAGCCCCATTGATAAACCTTCTCAAGAAGGTGCATACTTGGAGTTGGACAAAGTTATGCCAGGGGGCATTTGATGACTTGAAAAGGGCAGTTATGGAGGAACTGGTACTTAGATTGCCCGACCACTCCAAGCCATAGGATGTGCATACAGATGCATCAGACTTTGCTATTGGAGGCGTGTTGATGCAAGAAGAGTACCCCATAGCCTATGAGAGTCGCAAGCTCAATGACATCAAGTGGCGCTATACGGTGCAGCGCTATACGGTGCAGGAGAAAGAGATGACGGCGGTCATCCATTGCCTACGTACTTATAGGCACTACTTGTTTGGGGCACAATTTGTGATCAAGACGGATAATGTTGCCACCAGCTACTTCCAGACACAGAAGAAGCTTAGCCCTAGATAAGCACGATGGTAGGATTTCTTAGCAGTGTTCACTTATCATTTTGAGTGCAAGCCAGGCAAGGCCAATGTTGTGGCGGACGCACTTAGTCGCAAGGTCGAGCTTGCAACTATTAGTCGGTCCCAGCACCCTCTTGTGGAGTGGATCAAGGAGGGGTTACAGCATGACCCTCTAGCCAAAAGCCTCATTCAGTTGGCTAAAGAAGGAAAGACTCGGTGCTTTTGGCTAAGGGATGACTTACTTCTCACCACAGGGGATCGACTCTTTATGCCCAGGTGGGGTAACTTACGAAAGGAGCTCATATGGGAGTGTCATGACACCAAATGGGCTGGTCACCTAGGTATGCAGTGCATGCTAGCACTCCTAGAAGGTTTTTACTATTGGCCTCGGATGCGTGATGATGTGGAGGCATATGTGATGACTTGCCTTGTGTACTAACAAGATAAGATAGAGCAATAGCATCCCGCAGGCCTACTGAACCTTTACCTATTCTAGAGAGACCATGGGAGAGCGTCTCTATGGATTTCATCACTTGCTTGCCCAAGTCAAAGGGTTGCGGGAGTATTATAGTGGTGGTAGATCGGTTCAGCAAGTATGCCACTTTCATACCCACACTAGCAGATTGCAAGGCAGAGAGGGTAGTAGAACTATTTGTTAACCATGTGGTCAAGCTTTGGGGAGTGCCACAGAACATTGTCAGTGACAGAGACTTGCGTTTCACGGGTAGGTTTTGAATGGGGCTCTTCAAGAAGATAGGGACGGATCTCAGCTTTTCTACGAGTTTCCACCCCCAATCAGATGAGCAGACGGAGTGTATCAATGCTCTCCTGGAGCTATACTTCTGACACTATTTAAGTGCCAACCAGTGAGATTGGGCCAAACTCCTTGGGGTGGCACAGTTTCTTACAACTTTACAGCGAAGTGAGGCTTCCAATTACAGTCCATTTTAGGTTGTTACCGGACAGCAGCCTATGACACCCAACGCCATTGCTTCGACTTGCGATGGTAAAAGTCCGGCGGCCTACAAGTTTGCCAAGAGGTGGCACAAGCAGTCCGACTTGGCTAGGGCGTACCTTGACAATGCGGCAAAAAAGATGATGAAGTGGGCCGATACCAAACGAAGGCAGGTGGAGTATATACTGTTGGGATATATGTGCCCTAGCATAACAAATTCTTATTTGGATTGTAAAAGTCATGGTTCCTTATCTGAATATTATTATTAAAGCATTATACAATTGGTGAATGGAATGTATTATTTTTTGATTCATTATGGAATTGATTGTGTCTACTTGATTACAAGATATATTTATATATGTATGTAATGGCAATTAATACTAAGTTATAAATTAGTAATCATAAATGGTTCAAAGTCAGTAATTATGGATAGACATTTAATTTGTTAAGACTTAAACCGAGTCCACGATAGATTGAGATATATTATGGGAGCTGTTGTATGCAATTGATCTCTATCACAGTCATGGTTTTTGACTCTCAAGCATGAGAGAAGTATAGACTCTTTTAGCATGAGAGAAGTATAGACTCTTTTATTAATTAATAATTACTTTAATTTGTTCGGCGAATACCTCGGGATCCTTAGATCGGCACTTTAGGTAGTTATGTAATTAATAGTTAGAGGTTTATATTCTCAATATTTGTATCAATGCTATTTGTATTTATTTTGTTTTGATTATGGTTGATCACAAATTAAATTCAAAGACCTTCGTATGTTTTAGACAAAATGTTTTCTATATATTTTTATTTAGTAAATTATTATTTTTGTCAAAAAAATATTTTATTATGATCGAGCCGGAAATAATCAAAGGTAATAAAATAATTATATTAATTATGTTGTCGGATTAATGGCTTTAATTATCCGATAAATAATTATGCATAGAGGGGTCAAAGTGCAACATTGACTTAGAGGTTATTTACTATTTAATTGGAGTGCAATTAATTTCTTTTAGTGGAGTAGAAATTAATTTATGAATTAATTGAATTGGGTCCATGGTTTAATGGACCAGACCAATTATTAATTTATAGTAGCCAAGAAAATAGTAAGTCCAAATGATTCTTACCCATAACCCAAGTTGATATTGGAGTCATATTAGAATTAAGAAATTTGAATTAGAGATGGAGAAGAATATATTATTTTCTTTTCTTATCTTTATTTTGCCTATATATACATGAGTCTATGTATATTTTTGTGGTGTGACTTTTAGAACAAGAAAAAGGAATATATTCTCTCTCTTTAGTTTTTTGGGTTTGTTTTATCTTCTAAAGGAGGCTACCACAAGCCTTAATTCCAAGGTCATTCATCAAGGCATATTAGTGATTCGTAAAGGGAAGATTATCATAAAGTAGAAGGAGAAATGATCTTGCTAAGGGATCTACAATAAGTGAGAACATTTACTTTAGAGGAAAGATTAAAAGGTTTACTTAGACCTTTAATGTAAGTATTCAAACTGTTAATTGAATGATACATCATCTTTTATTTTTGCATAAAACTTGTCTTTATGTGATGAATCAAGATCTATGTATAAAAATCCCTCAAACGTTTTTTAAAACTTGCACGTTTCCCAACAGTGGTATCAGAGCATGGTTTGATTCATTACTAGAGATTATGTTTTTATCAAAATCATCTTCATGGATCCAAATTATATATACATATATATATATTTATTGATGTATGTTGATGTTTGATTTATTATATTGATATATATTGATATATGATGATATATGTATAATTGTAAATGGATGATGATGTATGGTTGGGCTATGGATGAAGCTTATAGGTTTATTGAATGTAATTTTATCTTTGAATGAATGTAATTAAGGCTTTGATTTAGGCGTTTGAAAGTTCAATGATGTAATTTAATTTTTTCTATTGTATTTCAAATTGTAAATATTTATTAAAGCCATGTAATCTTCATCAAAGGATGCTATGAAGATTTAAGAAGGTCAAAAATGGTTAAATTAGGTTTCAGCAATTTTTTGCAATTTTTTCAGAATTTTTCAGGAATTTTTTAGGCTTAATTTAATTTTTTGAAATTTTTTCCTATTTTTCTGGAATTTTTTAGCGTTTTTCCGGTGATCGAGTCAGAAATAATCAAAAGTAACAAAATAATTATATTAATTATATTGTCGGATTGATGGCTTTAATTATCCGATAAATAATTATGCATAGAGGGGTCAAAGTGCAACATTGACTTAGAGATTATTTACTATTTAATTGGAGTGCAATTAATTTCTTTTAGTGGAGTAGAAATTAATTTATAAATTAATTAAATTGAGTCTATGGTTTAATGGACCGGACCAATTGTTAATTTATAGTAGGCAAGAAAATAGTACGTCAAAGGATTCTTACCCATAGACCAAGGTGATATTGGAGTCATATTAGAATTGAGAAATTTGAATTAGAGATGGAGAAGAATTTATTGTTTCCTTTTCTTATCTTTATTTTGTCTATATATGCATGGGTCCATGTATATTTTTGTGGTGTGACTTTTAGAACAAGAAAAAGGAATATATTTTATCTCTCTAGTTTTTAGGATTTGCTTTCTCTTTTAAAGGAGGCTACCACAAGCCTTGATTCCAATGTCATTCATCAAGGCATATTGGTGATTCCTAAAGGAAAGATTATCATAAAGAAGAAGGAGAAATGATCTTACTAAGGGATCTACAATAGGTGAAAACATTCACTTTAGAAGAAAGATTAAAAGGTTTATTCAGACCTTTGATGTAAGTATTCAAACTGTTAATTGAATGATACATCATCTTTTATTTTTACATAAAACTTGTCTCTATGTGATGAATCAAGATCTATGTATGAAAATCCCTCAAAAGTTTTTTTAAAACTTACACGTTTCCCAACACATAGTGGGAGACCAAGTGATGGTTAAGTTACTACCCCAACAATTCAAGTCTTTACGAAGCGTGCATAAGGGGCTAGTAAGGAGGTACGAGGGCCCATTCTCCATTGTCAAGTAGGTGGGCAAGGTCTCCTACATGGTGGAGCTTCCACCTAAGTTGAAGATACATCCAGTCTTTCACGTTAGCATATTCAAGCCTTATTATGGAGACGTGGAAGACCTTATTCAGGGCATATCGCAGAGGGCACCCGCGGTCATTGTTACATCTTTCGACAAGGAAGTTGACTATATCCTTGCGGATCGTGTGATGAGCAGGAGAGGCGTGCCCAAGTATGGAAAGTATTTAGTGAAATGGAAGAACCTGCCAGATAGTGAGGTGAGCTGGGAGTATGAGGATACACTTTGGCCGTTCGCGGAACATATCTAGCAGTTCAAGCAAGAAGACGCGACGAGGGCATCGCGAACTTATGTGGGGGAGAATGTCAAGCCCCATAACCAAGAAGCTATGTCACGCAGGTGCCACGCAGACGCCTAACAGATGATGACATGGCAACCTGCATGGACCGAGAGCTTTCTAAACTTCTTTACACAAGTATAGAACTTTTCGGAATTCTCTATAATAGTGTGGAGTTGTCGAGTCTCTTCTGGACTTGTCTGGAGTTGTATAGAATTCTTTAGACTTGTCTTGTACATTGTAAATAGTTCTAGAATTGTATAGATAGTTCTTTAGAGAATTCTAGACACTCATTCTAAGCCATACATTTGTACACATCTAGAATGTTCTTATAAGGGCCAAAGGCCTATAAATAGGAGGTGGGAGTTCATTTGTTCCCCACCAAGCAACTTAAGTTGTAATCTCTTCTCAAGTAACATAAGTGTTCATACATTTCCAAACTTTCTTACTCATTTGCCTAAATCTTTTCCTACACAATTAAGTAAGTAAAGCACTTGTCTAGCCTTAGTTTTCACTAAGCTAGCACACTCGGATAGACTGACTTAGCGCTTCATGGGGGCTTGAAAATGTCTAAGGCCACACGTGAGCTTGAAAGGTCCAAGTCCGTGACAATAAGCCAAGTGTGATACCCCTCGATTTTAGAGCCACGGGTGATCAAGTCCGAGCACAGATCCGAGGGATACCAAACAATTAAGTATATAAACAAGTATTTGATTACAAAATAAATAACTAAGAATAAATAAAATAGCAGAAAAGAAAACTAAGTAATAAATCCTTAAATTAATAAATAATTAATCCTTCAAACGAAATATCCAAAACCTTTAATTTTATTACAACTCGAGAATCCATCTAGTGGGCCCCTTATGATATCCCAACTGAAAAGAAAAATAATCCAAAACTAAAACATAAAGAGAATCCTACGTCAAATCGGAAGAGTGATGTGAACTGTCTCTACTCAGCACGAACAAGCTCTATGTCTGAAACTGACGAACGCCTGAAAAATAATAGTGAGTCAGGTTACGAATAAGTTCTTTCTACGACAACCCAAACAGAGACCAGAAAAACTATATATCTATAGCTAACCCATACAATAACTACATAGCCTATAAATACATATACACACTAAAGGAACCTCACTAGACTATAGAACTGTATCAACCTGAATAGTAGGCAACATGCAAAACGCACATATCGTGGGCATGAGTACCTAGACCTACCAGGGCACACAACCACATTATATCTAGATACACATTCTTGGCAATATACGCACCCTAACCACTGATCCTGAGGCTCAAGCCATATCATGGCATATATCTATATATATATAACATATATCCTATCTAATATAAAGAAATCCACTATATATCATCCAACTTGTTCAATTAACCTGACACGAATATAAGTAGGACTTAACATTTTAGTTAATCCATTTCCTTATAAAATAGGTAGGACTTAACTGATAAGTTAATCCATCCCTAAAGTGCTACCATCCCATACTGGTGCACTACATCCACACAATCCAATAGTTGATGTAATAATTAAAGAAGTACATCAAATAATCCAGAAATAAACATAATAATATAATATCATGTTATCACAAAATAGGAACGACTTATAATTTAGTTAAGCTTCCTACACCATATATCCTACACAAACTGAATCTTAAACATGCTGATATTTTATTATACAGTCAATTAAGCATTTTCCATATACAAGTCATGCTACATATTTAATCTTAATTGCTAAAACAAAAATAAAGATTAAATCCATTCATTCCTCAAAGAATTCAAATAGCATGCATTGTTATATTTAAGTCTGTTTAAAACTTGTTTAAACTTATACCTAGTCCTTACTTAATGTTTAGGACCCCTCAAAATAAATTGAAAATTAATTTAACGCTGTTTACAAAACTTCCCTAAGTAAGGCTCGAGCTTTTATCCTAATTGCTCGAGCTTCATGTCCATAACTCAAGCTTTGCCTGAATAACTCGAGCTTTACATCTAAGGCTCGAGCTTTTCATTTATGGCTCAAGCTTTTCTTTTATGGCTCGAGCTTTGCCTTCAAGTTTCAAGCACTGTAACAATGGACCGAGCACTGTTCACACGATTCAACCCAGAACTTCTACAGTGAAAATATTTTCTTTGTTTGAGGATTCTAAGGCATGTTTCTAGGTTCTATCAATACACAGATATGAAATTACAATATTAAAACATGTAAAAACCCATAAAAAAAAACCAGATCAAATCCATGAATTTATCAATTCATAAAGAACAACCAAAAATAATAATTTATAAAATTAATGTTTTAGATCAATTAAATTATAAATTTCAGTTTTAATTATTCTTTAAACAACCCAACGATTATACTAGAGATATATATTCCATAAATCAAAGGAGAAGCGTAGAACAAGAACTTGTCTTTAGGGATTTGAATAAAAATCCTAACCTCCTTCTTCTTCTTTCTCTTCCTTCTTCTTCATTCTTTCTCTCTTTCTCTCTCTAAAATATATTACGTGATATATTTCTAATCCCCTTTTCTAACCCTATAGTTATATATTTATAGGCTCAAATAATAACTATATTCCTTTTTTCAATCCAAGTCAAACTAATAAAGAAAAAATAAAATAATTAAAAATACTAAAAAGGTTATTAAATATATATGTTATGTATAATCTATGTATATTCTTATTATATAAATATATATCAGATTATTACTTAAGGACTTTCCTTATATATATATATATATATATATATATATATATATATATATATATATATATATTTATTTATTTATTTATTTATTTATTTATTATATTTACATATACAACTTATCCATGGATAATTATTCGTACCCATTAAACCCATTAACCAAGTAGTCCATAGAACCCAATTGGTTGGCCCATTACTGCTAATCATAAAATAAAAATAAAATAAAACAAAATAAACATTTAATCTACAATTTATTTCAAATAAACAACACCTGCAATTTAATTAAACAAACTAAGTCAAATAACATTAAGTACATACTTTCAAATAAACAGTTAGGTCAATTAAAACATTTAAGCAAATAAAATATGTAATTAAACAATTCAATTAAATACGTAAACAAATAACCACGTAATCAAATAAATAAATAAAATGCAACTAAAATCTTTAAAATAATACCAAGATAATTCTTTTAAAATTAGGAGTATTACACCAAGTAACAGTTGTTAGAAATGGTAGAAACATTGTTAGGATGATGCTGAACATCTTCATCTAGGCCATTTCATTTTAGATTGATTTTCAGGATTATTGTTCGATTGTAGTGTTTTACGATCTTGATTTGAAAGACAAATCAAAAGTTCATTGTGTCAGTGTTATGATTCGAAACGGGTGTAAGATGACTATTAGGTCACTGGGACTTGGTATTGGCAAATCTCATAACAAAAGTCGGAACATGCACTTTTGATTTTAGTTTATTTATTTTGGAGTCAGCGGATTTTATTAGTATAAGAACCCTCATGATCCATAGATTACTGAATATCATGACGGGGGTAAAAAAGGTATATTCATCTCTTGAATGCCTATCTCACAAAGTAGGGATTTTACGTTTGTGCATTCATTTCATTAATCATGACTAAGAGGCATTAGACATACTTTAGAATGCATCTGGATAGGTTTTATGTTGGAAAATAAAGTTTTATGAAGTACAGGGAATTAGGGTTGATTGAATTTGGGTAGAGTTGGATCGATCGATTGCATAGTGCAGGACAGAGTTTCCTCTTCTAATTTTGACTACAAAACCTAATTATCTTACTAAAAAACTTTATACAAACACTCTTAGGGTTCACAAACGCATATGCAAAATACATACATATACTTGGAACAATGTTGTGTGCAAATAGGCAACTAAGAGAACATTTATTTTCTTTTTCATCATCTATCATTCTGCATTAAATTTTGGGTGGCTCTTCAGAGAATCGAACCGACGAATCCATATTTCTGAAGAAAATTATAGAATTCAGTTCCAAAATCGCACAAGAAACAAGAAAGTTGGATTGCTAGTAAATATAATTCAAACACAGTAAGAGAAGTTGGTGGGATTGAACAAAGGATCTGTAGATTGACAGCTGCAGATTTCCGGGTAGAACATGTCGTTTAAATTAAATTTTCACATACTTGAGCCATTTCTTTTACCTTCTTGGAAATTATATTCGACTTTTTCTGCAATTTTATTTTTCTTTTTGCATCATTAGTTTCTTCTGATATTAATAAAGCTGTATTTTATGCTGATACAATAAGCAACAATGAAGAAAGTGGTACTTTTCTAGTGCATTGTTCGTTTAATTAATTAATTTATTTATTTATTTTTTTGTTAAACTAACTCTTTCAATATGAATTACATCTCTTTTCTGCTATATTGAATCCTTGTCTGCCTCCTGTTATAGGACTGCGTGAATGGTTTTCTAAACAGATGGAAGGACAAATATGGCATCAGCTTCTGTTTCTTCAAGGAAGAGTCAAAAGACCCAGGAGTCCTGTATGCCATTTTATCTTTCTCTGCATCAAATAAATGCTGCAAACAAGAATGCCGTTATGTTGGATGAATTTTCTGACGACGATGAAGAATTCGACCAAGAGGTTTTCACTATACCTGTGCTCTCATAATTTTTCTATACTCTTTCTGAATATTTTAGTTGAAATCATTTTAGGAATGTCTACTAGCCTTGAGAATGAATTCGAGAGAACTAATAAAGCTGACCAAGATTTTTGTTTTATTGGTTTGTCATATTTATTTATGGTTGGAATATGTGGGAGTTCTATTCACAATGATCTTCATGTATTGAAGTCTTAAAAGATGAACCTATGGAAAAAATTATTTCTCCTGTTTTCCAGGCAACCTCTGACTTAAAAACCATTTGAACACTTCAAAGTGTTCCACCCTTTTTTCTTTAGGAAAAATTAACATTATACACATGGACACAAGTCAGGCATTCAATGACACCTTTTACATATCACAAAAATGTAATTATAATGATAAAGTAAAATAGTGGTAGTAAATATAATATTGTAATCTTTACAATATTCATATAGCTTTATGTGAATCTTAGTATAAAAATAAAAAATTAGTTAAAGTTCTATAATTAGGCCTCTTCAGCGCCCTCGTGCTATCATCATGCCAATCGACAAAACCTTCAGTTGCATCAAAGGCATCTAGTGTGCGTGCTTTTCTCCATTATGCTCTACTTAAAGATTATGTTCCATATTTTGTCTAAATTATTTTCTTTTTCTACCACAATGGTGGTTTCATAAAGAACAATTGGATATGGATATTGGGGAATTGTGAAGGAATTTGTGAATGCTTTATTTAAATCTATTGGTGATGGTTATTTCCTGAATTTTAAAATATGAACAAAAAATATTTAATTGTTCATATGGCAAAAAAAAAAAAAACTCAAATTAATCATTGTCCTTTAGAATAAGATCAACACAAAATGAACCCTTAGATTCTCTTCATGCCAAAATAAGATGATAGTATTAGCATTCGTTATATGTTGCTTGTGGTTCTATACAAAATTCAATCACATAAATTGTTAATTTATATTAACTGAAATTATTGGTTAGGCATGAAAACGTGTTTGGTTGTTCACGATTCTTTTTTCAGTAGCAGTATTTAAAGGACAATGATTAAATTACAAAAAGGATCAAAAGCAACAAAATAGGAATAAAAGTACAGGAGTAATATACATTATTCTTGATTGAGATCATAGGAATAATGAATCTGTAGATGTGTTAGCAAAAGATTACTCTAAACGGCCATGCCGAAGGAGAATGTGTAGTCTATTACTTTATTTTAACTCTGGGAGGTTTTTGGGAGTCTTATATTGGGAAAGGTCTACTCTGATTTTATATTTATCTCTAAAAGCTTAAATTAATAGATCACTGTATTTCACGTACACACACTATATATATTAATGTTCCCACCGGAACTTGAACACTCAACATCTACAAAGGGAAGGAGAGCTTATACCATCTAGGCTAGGACCGATTGGTATGGAATATCCCTGTTGCTTCAACTAAGTTTTGGTTGGGTGCTAGTAATCTAGGTCCTTACTGCCTTTATAAATGAATTAAAAAAAAAAAAAAAAAAAAAAAAAAAACGAAGAAAGAATATTTCTGAAAAATTATACTGGTTGGAGCTCCTTCGAGGAATCTCTGCTTCCGACTGTCTGGGCTTAGTTAAAGTTGTGAAAGTTGAATGGGGAGCGTTTTAGTTGAATCAGCAGCTTCTTGCTTTAACATCCCTTGGCATAGTTTCAATCAAACTACTTAGTTTTCTAAAAGGAAAGTGATATATGACACGACTTAGGAAGTTGTTAAGTATGAGTTCGGCTTTGGAAATGTTGAAGTTGTGAAATATGATTGGATGGTGATTTCAGTGCAAGAAGCTATAGCAGTTTATTCGGTTTGTATAGCACAATTCTTTCTAAGACAACTTCCTCAACAATTTCCATATTGTAAACGTGTATGGAGTCTATTATGTGATTAGTAGGTTAGCAATCATTTTTTTCTGTACCATATTTATGAGCCACTGAATAATTCTGTGTGTGGGTTGCTTCCGTGAATTTCTTTCTTAGTCGTAGTGAACTTTCAAGTAAGTTGTTCTTATTGCTGATGTAATTGTAGACTTGATGTTGCTTCTTTAAGGTACCAGGTTTGACACAGTTGCAGTATGGTTTTTCTATTCTGCGACGAAGAATTTAATGAATGGATCTCAATGCAACAGTTTGTTGATGGCGATGATGAGTTCTGTAATAGTAAGATTGGAGCCCATCCCATCAGTTCCCAAGGTACCTATCTCATTTTTTGTAATTTTGGAAGAATGCACAAATTCTAGATGTTAGGGCTATATGAAGCACTCTATGCAATCACCTTTCCTTCTGATTTTACACACACACATGCACACACTTACTGTTGATAGGATTGAGAGTAGCTTTTGTTTATAATCTCAAATAATGGCTAATTTGTTTCTAATCGGAAGTTGAGCTTTTCCTTTTCCCTCTGTCCGAACATTTATACATGAGAAATTAATAAGGAATTCTAATAGCAAAATATAGCAAGAAAGGTAACGAATAGTGTAAAAGTTACTTGATTATTTATATAGTGATAAAAAGTTGAGCTGATTTGAGCTACATGGAGATTAAACACTGTTATGTGGCCTATTAACAACTTGAATCTTGATATCAAGACATGTGAGACATCGAAATGGGCGGAAATGTTAGAAAAAACGTTTACGAAATTTGGAATTTCAATTTCTGTGCTGTGATCAGATCAGTTATTAGAATATAATGTCTAACTGATTCAATCTTTAGTTGATTATTGGAATTTCTGATACTGTCAGTCCTTCAAATGAAACTGAATCTAGGTTGAGTGGTGTATGCTCCATTAGAACGAGTAATTTTTGTGTTTTTATAGATTTATAAGGAATTTGTTTTTCTCGATTATACATAAGTATGAATATTATACATGTTTAACATGAATATGTACTTGTTATTCCTCTAACATTAAAATTACTATCTGCCACAGTCAGTCAAGGTCTCTCTAGTAAACATCACATATTGTAATGTTATTGTATATGTGTGTGTGTCTCTCTGTGTATACATATTAGTTAACAAAGGAAAGTGTCCAATAACTCCAACAAACACATTATCATTGCAATTGATTCATCACAAAAATGCTTTCAGCACATAAAGTAGAAGACTTTCTAGCCACAAAGCACATTTTAATCACATATCAACGGTCTAATACAAACTTAAGTTGCTCTTTGCCTAATAAAATCCCCAAAAGCATCCAAAGAAGCCACAGAGCTCACCGGAAAACCACACACAAAGCCGCCTCGAACGGTCGCCGCCCGATTTCTGATATCAGCATCTGTCATTAACATTTCTATTCCATGCAAAATATCATCCTTCTTCACAATATCAGCAGGGTATCCCTTAGAAACCACAGTCCCAACTTTGAGATGGCTCACTACTAACTTAGCATTGTAGTATTGATCAGCCCTAATGGGCCATGCCAAAAGTGGGACCCCCCCCGGACAATAGCTTCCACGGTGGAGCTCCATCCACCGTGTGATAGAAATCCACCCGTTGATGGGTGGCTCAGTATCAGTAGCTGTGGTGCCCATCCGTGTATTATCAAACCTCTTTCCCCAACTCTGCTGTCCAATCCATGAGGGTAATAACCATCCACAACAGCAATCTGAACCGGGTTGACCCGTACCAGTAGGACCGGGTCTACCGGATCTTTTCTGGATGACCCATATGAATGGCCATTTTGACTCTTCCAATGCATTGGCCAGCTCCGGGAACTCCTCCATACTAGGACCCACTTCACTACCGAATGACACGTAGAATACCGACCCATGTGGCTTCGAATCTAGCCATTTGATTATCTCCTCCTCGGAGTAATTCGAGTCACGCTTGAGTCGAATTTCCCGCTCTTAAAAGACTGAATCCATGGATTGCCAGTATTGATCCGGTAACAGTGGCCCAACACCCCAAGCGGGTTTTTCAGTTAAATTAGTGATGTAATCAAGAAATGGACGCTCAAGATCATCACACGTGTTGATCAATATTGCGATCGAACTCTCCACTTTTGCCACCCAACAAGTTGGCTCACGCGGGCAAGGCGGTCCCCTCGGCCTTTTCAACCCACCATCACCCGGGGCAGTCATGAGTTTTGGACCAATACCGCCATGTGGGGGCGGAAACATCCAATGGCGGCCTTGCTTAAGATCCGAGTACTTTAAGACCATGTCTTCAGGTAATTCGGGAAGCGACCGGATCTCACCCGGTTTCATGTCGTCGGGCTGGACCTTCCAAACCGCATGTTGGATCGCAGCCCAACATGCGCCCGACGTGACGAAAGTAACTGTTGGAACACCAAATTTTGCGAACACTCCTTGGGTCTTGAACATGATATGGTCGATCACGGCACAAACGGGTCGGATCAGACTCCAGCTTTCGGTTTTGCGGGTAAGGAAACCTTCCAGATTTGAATGCATCTGCTGCTCCTGGGGATGGATTTGGTCAGATCCGGACACTGCCGTGTGTGGTGGAGACCGGGAGAAGTCGGCGATTTCAAAGAGTGGGGGTTGCTGGAGAGAGGTGGGCACAGAGGATGATATATCAGAATCAATGATGAGGGTGACCTTGTAATTTCGTGAGACGAGGTGCTTGCAGAGCTCCATGCAGGGGAAGAGATGGCCCTGCCCATTTTTTGGAACCACCAATATCTCAGCTGACATCTCTCTCTCTCTCTCTCTCTCTCTAAAATCCCCCTCTAAAAAAAGAAGGATTGGGTTGCAGCGATGGAGAAGTTCAAGGAGGGGTTTGACTAGTAGAATTGTTAGTCTCTTCTTGGTTAGAAGGTGCACAGAATGTTTGGCGGGACAAAAGGCAAATATCATATACATCCATAATTTGATTACCGATAGGAGTTATATACACAAGTGTTATATATATATATATATATCTATATAAGTTTAAGAAAACATTCAATAAATTAGCTAGATGTTATAACCTTCCTTACCTTCAAAAAGTAAGGAGGGTTGGAACTTGATGTGGATAAGCACACGCATACTAATAATATTGTGTCTTACGGGA